CCCCCCCCCCCCCCCCCCCCCCCCCCCCCCCCCCCCCCCCCCCCCCCCCCGCAAAAATCTCGCTTTTAAACTTACACTCACCACTTTCTTCGAAAATATATGTGAGTTCCACAAAATAAAATTTTAAACAACACTCAGGAAGAACTTTGAGTTTGTTTTTCAAAGATGTTCATCTCATTCAAACGATAGTTATCAACACAAATCAAAAGGTAAACATAATCATCAACATTCATCAACATCTAAACGTTGTGCAAATACTCGATCGACTAGAAAAAATTATTCAAATAAAAAACCACCATCCGACGACGATACTCTAAGTTGCTCGTCGATGACTTCTCATAATACATTACCATCTTCACCTAATATTCGACGGAAAATGATTGATAATCAACAACAAACTCAAATCTATCCAATAAAAACAAATATTGGAACATCAACACAAATCAATCATACAAATGATGTAACAACATCGGAACCATCATGGTTAGATGTTATGCGCGAAGATCAAACAACGATTAATGCCTGGGCTCGTATTCGACGTCGACTTAAACCTAATCAACAGAAAGATATTCTCAGGTGAGTCGACAATCACTGCACAGCAGCAATGAGATTCTCCATCGAGCTTATAATAAACACATTTGTTAGTTCAGGGGAAGATATCTGTTACAAAGACTTTAATGAAGAGACGACCCCAAGGGGGAAAAAGCGATTTATGAGTTTCATGATTTTTCTGAGTTTAGCTGATTTAAAATGAGTTTGAGAAAACGAAAAATTTGCTAAACCAACTAAAAACTATTCCAAATCATAAATTATTACTGAAAATCATTCAAACGCACCGAAACTCACGCAAACTCATTCCAATACAGTTAATTTATATTGATTGTAAGTTGAGTTTTACTGTGATTTAAATCAGCTTTTTCCCCCTTGGACGACCCTCATTTAGACAATTTCAAATTAAACTTAACGAGTTCATCTATAAATGACATTTTAAAAAGGAAGACAGCGAGATCAATAGAGCGAAAATCTCATACCCCGACGCTATACTCTAGAATGTTTTAAATCTACTTTTTACAAGCCTGTTGTTAGTAGAACTTGACTTTGATTAAAAAGTGTTGAAGTATGGTTTCAACATACGGTTCAAATACGGAATCGCAGTGGTAAATCCCAATCAGGATTATTTTTACAGATTTCTCAAGTTCAAAGATATTTTGAATGACTATACTATAGTATCAATGCAGTCTATGTGTGTAATCAACTTAGATATTGAACCAACCATTAAAAAAAATGGTTGTTGTAACTGTGGATCTATCAATTCAATTTCATACAAAAACGCAAGCTTTTCAAAACTGAACATGCGCAATGATTTATCACACAGGGACACAAAAAAACTGCGACTCGAACTTAGATTTCCTCTATGCATCAGTCTAATCGAGAAAATTTGATTTAAGCATCTCATTTATTCGTTTCTTTTATCTATTAGTAAAAAATATGATTACTACATTTCTATCGTCTAGTTGTCGATAAAAACACCATATTGCGTAATTTTTCTCTAGATAATTCTTTATATTCTAGGGCATTAATGATCATCTGTGCTAATCTATTCGAAGTACCTATTGAAAATAAACATATATAGTCGACGGAATTGAATTTTATTTTTCAATAACATAATATATATTTCTTTGGAGGTATTAGAGAAATAGACGAAACTGCATAGAAAAAAATCAAATGGCAAACAAAAATAGGAATGAGAGAAATTGCACTAACAAATAAAGAAATTCAGATCAATGATAATAATAATAATAATTGTTAGAAGGTTCATACCATTCTACAAAGAACCTAGAAAAATCAAATAATACAATTTCGATATCAAGAGGAATGAAGAAAAGGCATCTATTACAATACCATTTGTTTGGTTGTTAATATTTGATAATTGAAATATTTGATCAATTTCCGTTTCTGACCATGGTTGTTGCCATTTAAGATAATGTTGAAAAATTTTTAATGCTCGTCCTTGATTATTTAGAAAATTTGAGATACGTTGTTTAAAATTTTCTTCCATATTTCCATGTTTTGATGATATATGCAAACGTATGCATTCACGTGATAGGACAACAAAAAATTCTTCGTGAGAACAAACATGACATCGATAAAAAACACTATGCACTATCCATCCATTCGATATGTCAATATTCGACAAAAGTACTGATTGAGCTTGATATGATGGTAAAACTTCTGATATATCTGGAGCTTTTGAATTAGTCGCAGAGATTTTTCGAGTATTTAAACGTGTAGATTTTGTTGAAAACATTTCATCGATTTTATCGATTGGAATCGAACATCTTTTTGTTATGGAGGAATTCATAGAATTACGTGTAGTTGGATTTTTATTATTATCATTCGAACAATTCACTATACGAATACGAGCACCATCGTTAAGAACAACTGATTGATATTTAGGTAATGAATCATTGGTTTGTTCACGCATTAAAATTGGACTGGCATTTTTCTTAGACCGTTGGTCGCCCGCATTAGACGAAGATGAACATAAGAATGCTTCATTATTTGTATCACTGAAACAAAACAACAGATGTAAAAACAAAAAAAACGGCACAACTAGATAATTCTCATTGGGGAGAGTGTTGAATAGTTATATTCTCTGGCATATATTTCAAAACTTAGGACAAATCCTGTGATTCAAAAACTCAAATCATTCAGCTACAGAAACTCGAGCTATTGTTTTGAGTATAATAAGAATAGTTTCAAGTTTTTTTGCGATAAATATTCAAAACTGATAGCGATGAACATATCAATAAATTTTTCTCCAATTCCAGAAACATTCTGTAGATGAATATCTAAATTTGGGAGACTTTTATGACACCTATTCATTGAAGTAGCTATTTCATTTGTAGAAAATTTTAAACTGGAAAGTTGATTATAAAAAAATAAAAGACTGATAGATCAGTTGTCAAGAATTTCTTCTCCATAGTCGATTGCTTTAAGAATGGTTAAGAACTTACTCTTGTAACATTTGATGATCACTAATAGACAAATCACATTGTACTGGAGACGCAACTGTATAATCTGAAATATCTCGTTTTTCACTATCATTTAAATTACTATTTATTTGATTATCACTAAATTTCATGGGAAATTTTTTCGATCGTATTTCAAAACGACGACGATCATCATAATTCTGTTGATGTCCATTATGTATTTGTGTAATAGACGTTCCCGATGATGATGATGTTGTTTTCGACGACACAGAACGTTTTTCAATTTCATAAGATGAATCATCATAACGACGAATTTTTAGTGGAGGTATCGAATATTCATTATCATGATTCATTGTTGATTCGTGATGATTGTGATTATCTTCATCATTATCATCATGATTTTCCGAATGAAACGATTGAAAATAATTACGTTTGAATGATGTTTGTAAATTCATCGTATAGTCATGCATGGTTTGTCGTAAAATATTTAGAAATGATAATGACGTAAAAGAAAATTGATGCTGATTATCATAATTATGTACAATAAATTGAAATTCTTGACTTGCTATTGAATTTATTAAATGAAAATAAATTCTTATATTGAATAAATAATTTTTTAATAGAGAATTTGTTGGTAATTTAACTAAGGTGTTAAAATTAGGCGAAAATAAAAGTGGATAAATAGTATTAGTATCATTATTTGTATTCGACTGAATTCTTTGACGCGAGTTGATTTTTGTTGGAATATTTATAAGAAAATTCGTGTGATTATATATCGACGGAAGAGAGTCTCTTGAGCGAAATTTATTTAGTGTTGGAATCGAATTCTTTTTTATCAATCGATGTTTCATACGTATATAAAATAGATTACGTTCATGACGTGAATATTTATAGATATGATACGATGGAATTTTATTGTTTAACAAATTTGAATTAAATTGCTCTTTTTCGTCATCTTCATCATCATCACCGTTAGCTATTGTTGTTGTATCGGGTCTTTCTAAAGTGTCCGATTTACAATGCGCATCATCAAATCTTGATTGATTTGACGAGGGAAGATAACCAGACGAATGTAAATTTGATAAAGAAATATTAAGATTGATATCATTTGTTGTTACAGGAGAATGAAAACTGTTTGAAGTTGACTTTTTATATGATGGATGTAGTTTAAGCACTAGATGTATAAAGAAAAAAGTTCTATTTAACAAGATATTTAGAAAAACGAAAGCCTACTTTCGAGGATGTCAAGTTGACTTTGATTGAGTCGCGGTGGTGATAGAACGGGTTCTTTTACTGGCGTCTTACTGGGATTTCGAATTTCACATTGTGAGAAATGAACATCCAATGTAGCACGATTGGTGAATTCATCAGAACAAAAATGACATATGTATATTTGATTTCCTAGATAGTAAAAAAGAAATTGTTAAAGATATCAAATTTTACTTCGAACAGATCTTTGTTGAAGTCTTAATTCAGAAATTAGAACTAAATCTCTAGTCTTTATTGATCAATAGTAGAATTAAATACTCGTGTGATTTTAATCAGACAACAAAAATCTCTCTGTAAAGATGTTTCATCTCATTTTTCAGGCAAAAAAAGATTAACGGAAAAAAGATTTATTATATGAAACAATATTAACTAGCTAGGAATTAAAAATAGAAAAAAATCGAACAATTTGCACATACGTTTCCAATTAATCAAAAAATTTCTTCGTTCTACTAAAAACTAAATCTTATGTTGTGATTCCAATAAACCTTGTACATCTAGATAACAAATTTATATCTACATAATCTGTCAGCTCGAAACATATTGCGTCAATTATCTGTCAGTATAGTTAACAGTGAAACCTAAGTAATCGACAGAAACCCTTTGTCACAAGGAATGGAACACAACAATTCAAATATTTGATCATACCTGTCGTTGAATTCGCCATGATATATTTCAATAATAATAAAAAATAAATAATCACCGGAGGTTTCTTGGTTTAGCACATTTTATCCTCTTTTCATGATCTACAAAAAGAAACGAAAAAAAATGAACGAAAACGCATAGAAAAATGACTGTCCAATGTTTCGCTGTTCAAAAACCAACGAGGCTTATCGTCTGTATTATCTAACAACGATCATCACATATCGATATGCATAATCACAAGCAAACTATAAAAATAAAAGCAAAAACAACAACCCAGACCTATTTATCTCTAATACTGATTAAATTAATGTATGCCGAACATTGGTAAAACAAGATCAATTTATAAAAGAGTATGATGGATTGAAAAGAAAATACAAGGTCTTCCATCGTCAAGGTAATTTTGTACAGTAAACTCCTTTAAAAGCTATTGAATGAATATTGATGATATTTATACGAAAATATGATTTAATAAGATCAATAAATGTATCCATTTTTACATAATGAAAAAAAGACAACGAAGAGTGGAAAAGAATACAGATTCCGTTTCACTGGAAGAATTTATTCATTGGACAATGGCTTATGTAAAATAGGAAAATGTTCTCGTGCATAGATGACGCCATTACTGATTGAAATTTTTGAAAATCATTTTGAAAACTCAGACAGAAGTTTATTTTTATAATTAAAAACTATGAAAATGATAATTTTTTTTCGTATTTACTTATCGAACACGACGAATATGAAACATAGAGTAAAGCTGTACGAAAATCTTAGGCAGACAAAATGCTTTTTGAAATGAATTCTACCATCCTGTTAACTGTCGTTGATAATTGTTACTCATTTCTAAACGAAAGAAAATATCAATTTTTTTCGATATTAACAAATTCTATCATCTGTCTATCTATCCATCTAATTATTTGTATAAACATACCGTTCATAATCTGTTTGCTCGCTGGATTTATTTGACGGTAGCGTCATCTGTTATGAACCTTTCCAATTCTAGAGAATGAATGAATGACGAATTTGAAAGGTGAATCATAATAATAAATAATTTCATCTCGATCGATTGATTATTCTCAGAAGAAGAAAAAACATCAAAAATGTCTTCACATGAATACAGTCTGCATTTTCTTGTTAGTGAACTTGTACGAGCATTAAAGTAATCTTGAATTTTAATTTCTAATTGAACAATTTTAAAGCAAGAAAATATAATTCTAGTGCGAATTTAAAAGGTGTACAGCTTGCACCCGAAGCTATTGTTGATTTTTTTAGTAAAAACACAAATCGACAAGCAAATACTTATACACCTGTAATATTAATTAAATATCTTTTTACTATATTAATTTGAAAATGATCTTTTGTCTTTGATATTCAGGCTGAATTATCAGATGCTAAACGTAAACTATTTTTACATACTTCATCAGCCAATGAATTCGTCGAACTCTACGATAGCTTAAAAGCACGACAGTATGTTATCGATTGAATAGATTTAAAATTAAAATTAATATAATTTGTTTTCTAGTGTTCGCGATTTAGATTCAGTTGTATTCATGCTTTCCAGCATCGTTGATAATCCTGAGGTAGTAAATATAATTTTTTTTCTCCTAAATTATTATTTAATATTTTTTTAAGATACAAGATTTACTCAAGCCACCTCGTTCAAAATCAACAACTATAACAAGTCCTCAACAAAGACGTTTTAATAGCCAAACACGAACAACAACAACTAGTCCAACATCGACAATCAGTAAAATTCACTCTACGAATATTTTAGCTGAAGTGAGCTCATTTATTGTTTACCATAATTCAGAATGCTTTTTTTGTAAATAATGAAATAGATGAAAGATACATTACTGCGACCATCAGCAACAGTATCACAAGCAGGATCGATTATTTCTGAGAATGATATTCGTCGTCGAGGTAAACAAAGGATTTATTCTGATGATTTTATTTGTTTTCTTTTCAGTAATGACACCATCATCATCACTGGAATTTCTTGGACGGCCAGCATGGTTTACTGAACGACTCCGACTTGTATGGGATTTTTATCCGACACCTGAGAAATTTGAACCAGTAAATAAATTGATTGTGTATCTTTACAGTACTATTTGTTTTGTTTCCAAGGATGTTGCTATCGGACGTCTTTCAGTTATTGAACAAGAAGCAATTATCGTTGAAGATCTTCTTTTATGTATGCTAGTAAGTAGTTATTCAAATGTATTTCGTTTAGAATTATTTGTTTATTTAAAAGGGTGTTGAAGGAAAATTTATAAAAACACCTTCATTAACAGATAAACAAGCTCAACGTTCATTCCATATTGATCGATCATTAGGTATAATTGTTAAACTATAGAAAATTCCAGATTAATTCATATTTGTGTTTGTCTTTTATTAGATCCAACTTTAAGGGATTTAGCAAGACGAATGGTACCTTTATGTTCGAATCATTCATTAATTGTCAGATTTATTGAAGGTATAAATGAAATATAGAGTTCACAGGGAGAATAGGAGATAACTTATTTTGATTTAGATCGTTTACAGTATAAATATGGTTTAATCAATCATGCTCTTGCTGGAGCATTAAGAGAAGTTGTTCAAGTAAGAATCGATAATTTAAGAAAAAAAAAAGATTTTCAAAAGAAAACGTTTCTATTAAATTTAGCGATACTACGTATTTGTCAGTCAACTTGAAACACAACAACAGCAAAGTCAATTGACATTACAAACATTATGGTTTCATACGGAACCTGTTATGGAAATGATGGAAGTGATAGCGAATATTGTTAGAACATTGAATAAGGTATACGAGAAAACAATTTGAAGAGTTTCCATGAATAACTCTCTTGAAAACATGACAATAGAAATAGTTTTCTTCATTTGAATTATTAGCTTTTATGAAATAGAATATGAGATGTGAGTGTTAAACATTGACTGTGCATACCATATATTTTTGTACCACAACTAAATGGATTATAATTAGGGATGTGCAGTGTGCGTTTACAGAACACCGATAGACGCCAGCAGCGACGCTCAGTGCGCACTGATGGGTTCAGCGCCACTGATCACCGAAATATTGATCACACTGACACCGACATCGCTGATGCGCTGATACCATCGGCGTCACTGGTAAGCCAGGCACACTGACTTCACTGATATCTCTTAATTAATAGTTACATAATACTGCAAGATATGTGCTTTAAATAAACAAATAATGATCACAATTAAATACAACATGTTTTTCTTTTTTATTTGAAGCCAATTTAATTTCAATCATTAAACAATGATTTAATGAACATAAAATACTAATAGAAATAGAAAAAATATTTTAATCAGTGATTTTCTGTTTAACACGAATGTTGTATTTAATTATCAAAATTAAATCCTATTCATATTATTTTATTTTATTTTTATCAAGGATGATCATAAAGTAGATGCATATATTTTTCAGGAAAATTAATGGTTTGAGTATTAGAAACGTGAAGAAAATGAATACATTTTCGTCGAAGAATTAGATAAATAAGTTATAAGTGAAAAAATCTTCGACAAAAACAAAAACATATGCTTCTACTTTATGATCACTCTTTGTTTATTTAAAGCACATATCTTGCAGTATTATGTAACAATTAATTAAGAGATATCAGTGAAATCAGTGTGCCTGGCTTACCAGTGACGCCGATGGTATCAGCGCATCAGTGATGTCGGTGTCAGTGTGATCAATATTTCGGTGGCCAGTGGCGCTGAAGCTATCAGTGTGCACTGAGAATCATTGTCGGTGACAAAAGTGACGGTTTTTTCGGTGTTGCCACTGACGCCGCACATCCCTAATTATAATCTAGAACTGCGTTAAGAAAAGAACAATGCAGACACAATGTGTGTTGTTATTTCAATGGATTAGTAAGACACATAGTATAAGTAGAGTTCCGAGCACATTGAAGTTTAGTATTTATTTTCCCTCGAAGCTATGAAAAAGAATAATTTTATGTACTGTAGGCAATAGGGATCATTAGTTATGCACTAAAATATATAAATCGTTTGAACTGTTCTATGAATTGATCATGTTAACTTTTCCGGAGGGATTTCAAAGCCCATGTGTAATATTAACCGATAAAAAAAATGATTAAAATCGATTTTGTTTTCTGAATACGTCATCAGCATCAAAACAAACTTATCGGAAAAACATAATCGAATATTCTGATTGTACTGTAAGTCCTGAATGATTTTCAAAATCATATTTTTCATAATTAATTGCTTATTTACTAAATCATCACATGCCATGGAATGATTTTTCTATTCATTTTTAAAATTTATTGAACCAATTTATCGTCACTTTAGAGGTGAAATGTTGAATTCTCGTTTGCTCTGAAGTCGCTCAAGATTTCTAATACTTCTATGTTCGTAAAATTTTATTTTTTGTGACATTTTTTACGCCGAGCAAGAATTCTATCAATGTAGTAGAGTAACAATTTATTATCGATATATGTTTGAACATGTTTTAGAGTATACAGTATCAAATTACTGTTCAATTCAGGCTTTTGATAATGTTTAGAGAATATGACTGAGACGACATTTATTAGATACAGTTTAGACTATGTTATATGATATTTTCAATGGTTGATGTCAGAAAACTGTAGAGAAATTTCATATGTTAGCAGAATATCGTATTACTTTTGTTCATAATTAATTTCTCAAATATCAGAAATGTTGAAAGCCTAGAAAATAGATTTCATTGAAATGTCCTAACTGTATTTATAATAATATCAGTTGTAAACGAATCATAAAAGAAAGTGATTCGAATGCAGCACAATGATTTAAAAGAATCTGACAAAAAAAAAACTCAAATCAATTTTCATTTGTCAATTGCTACGCTGAAATTAAAAATAACGATTTTATTAGGGTAATACAACTGGACGTGCAGTACTCGATCTTCTCCATGAGCAAACTCTTAAATTATCCGGCCATAAACAAGCTTATGATATTTGTTTTTTTCTTGCCAAATCTTCTTATAAACCATATTTAACAATGCTTGAAACATGGATTCATAATGGCCTAATCGATGATCCCTATGGCGAATTTATGGTACAAGAAAATAAAGATATAATTCATCATGAAAGTAGTCTTGAACAAGAATTCAATGATAAATTTTGGTCACGTCGTTATATATTGCAACGTAATAATACGCCCATATTATTTCAGTCAACGTCAGATATGATTTTAAATACTGGTAAATATCTAAATGCTATACGCGAAAGTGCATTTGATTTTCACGATGATACAAGCATCGATATGTCAACATCGATGTTACATATTGATAAACAATTATTAATGAATGATCATAAAAAATTAGAATATACAATACATGAAAAAGATCTCGATGAAACACTTGAACAAGCATATAAATATGCAAGTGAAATTCTATTGGATTTAATAATAAATAAATATCATTTGATTGAACGTTTTCACACATTAAAACATTACTTTTTAATCGATAAAGGCGACTATATTGTACAATTTATGGATTCAGCTGAAGACGAATTAACAAAACGAGCGCGAGATATTGATGAAAATAAAATACAATCATTACTTGACGTATCATTGGCTATAACATCCGATGATCAATATAAAGATGATGTACGAATAAAAATGTTTCATTATGATCTTATATCAATGCTTGAACGTGTACTTAATATTGAATCGTCGTCGACTTTAAATGACACAGTTGAATTAAAATTAACTGGTTTAGAATCATTTTCGCTTGATTACGATGTTAAATGGCCGATATCATTAGTTATTAATAGAAATTGTTTAACAAGATATCAAATGCTTTTTAGATTTTTATTTTATATTAAATATATCGAACGTTTACTATGCAATGTGTGGCGTGCACATAAAAATGGTGGTCGAAGACGACGACGAGGTCGTGATAGAAAAAGAATGATTACAAAACCCAACGGTGCTGCTTATCTGCGACATAAAATGCTTCATTTTGTACAAAATCTTTTATATTATATGAGTTTTGAAGTTATTGAAGCACATTGGCATACATTTGAAAATAATTTAAAAAAGGTATTTATCCAACAAGTCTTTGATTGATTTAAAATAGAACTTATTCGCAATGATCTTAAATCCAGAGATTTGATAGTTCTCCGTAATCGAAAGTAACAATTTCCTGTCGATTGATTCAAAAAATTAGTGAATCAGTGAGCCCGATAAAATGAATTTATTACAGTTTTAGGGGTGTTGTTGCTAGTAGGATTTTTACTATACTTCAAGGACTTCGATTGTCACATCAAATTACTGTTAGCGCTGCGAGGTAAATTAGTGGCCATTTACGAAATGAGAAAATTATAGACTCAACGCTTGTGAGTGCATACTTCCGATGAATCTATTTTCTACAAGAGAAAGAATATTTGTCAATTGTAAACGTTGCGCATGTTAAAAAACTAGAGCTTAGATTTATAATTTTAATAACGAATTTTATTCGCGCGAATGAATTAGTAAACAGTGTGATGGATGGTATCGCATCACATAGAGCAAGTACCTTCGTCTAGAGCTGTAATTCTAGTCATTTTTATTGTCAATTAGTGCATTCTTGTGTAATAGAAAAGTTTCATGTTGGCCTAGAATTAAAATCTATTTCAAAACAATATAAAATATCGTTCTGTATACTAAACATGCTATCTTGTTGTTTTGATAGAATGTCGTTTTAAGGATTGTTATTGTTTCATCACTGGACTTGTTCAGGCCAAAAATAAGAATTTTATTGAATTCGTATGGTAAATATTTAACATAGACGCATAGGAATAGAGAGATCAACATGTTTGAATCATAAAATGACAGAATATATTAAATTAGTATTTGCTAAAGTAGAAAAACAAAGTAAAAGTAATTCTTTTTTATCTTTGACACGTTAAGCTGTAGTGAAACAATATATTTTGTTATCGTATGATTAATCTTGTAATAAAATGTGTACTAAAAAGCAAGTAGTTGTCTGAACATGCAGAATTCAAATAAATCAATTGAAATAAAAATCTGCTTATATTCACTTTCTATATGAATTATGTTCACCTGCTCGAATGTTTGAAATAAACTAGTTAGTTTATCATCGATAAAAGGAAAACATGTCATGATTTCTCTATTTCCTAGTTAAGTCACTCTATCACAAGTGTTTCTAGAAGATAAATCAAGCACTTGACATTGTTGTCAAGACCTCGAAAAATAAATCAACTCTGATAATATTGACTCAAACAAATCGTTTGCAGAGTTGTAGATCAAGCGAATATCATCTTTCCGTTTATCATATATTAGTCTAGATATGCAATTCCTACCTAGTTTTCAAGGGTTAATGGGGAAATCAAATAACAACATTTGTTTTTGCTAATTTAATAGCTTATCGCTTGAAGTGATGCTTTACATTAGAATAAACTATCTGATTTTATTATGTCTCTGTCTAGAGAAAAATCCGTTTTTGTTTTCTGTAATAACTCGTGTAAATCACGATAAACTAAAAATTGGTTCGGATTCCCTTGTAATCTAAGAATTGATTGTAAAATTTAGATAGTAAATTTAAAATATTCATTACGTCTGAGAGAATTCTTCAAGATATCTTGATTATATAAAAATATCTTTGCTTTTAATTAAGGTAACAAATATTGATGAACTACTCCAATATCATTTATTGTTTCTTGATAATTGTTTACGTGATTGTATGTTGACCAGTGTACATCTATTGCGACATATTCATAAAATTATGGCAACATGTGTTATGTTTGCTAATGCTATGGATAATGTTGATGATGATGATGATTTTGATAGTTTACCAGGCGCAGTTGTTGTTAGTTTTAATAGCAATTTTACTGAACAATTACGGCAATTACTTGATGCTATTTCAAAAGAAGATGGACCAGTACAAGGATCGACTGGTGGTGGACAACAGCATACATTAACCAATATTATTCATAGGTAAACTTTAGAGTACATTTTAAAAGCAAAATAATATGACAATTATTGAGACATAGTACTTAATCATATCTTTAGTTAATTTTCTAAAAACATAATTAAGGATTAGCTCATTTCTTAGAACGAGACATTATTAATATAAAGTTTGTCATTATCTGTCAACACCTACTAATCTCTAATGGCGATGAAGAATCTCTGTAGATGAATCTAAAGTTCAATTTCTATGCTTCAGCGTTTATTTCACATCGTGAATCATAGCATCGACATTGAGTTTTTTGTTATGCGAAGGCGTGATGACGTATACTGTTTTGGAATAAACATGATTTTTTGTTAGATTTCACGAAATAAATTAATTAATTAAACAAGTTTTGAACTCTATTGTTATTTTTCTGATAATTATTAGTTTTATCAAGATTTTATTTATTTATATGTTTATCAGGAAAAATTAGAATATTTCTAAGTCAAATATAAAGCGCAAACTAAAACATAAAGATATGAGTCAGATATTTATTTTTGTTGATTCCAATACTGAATAAATAATCAATGAAAAATCGACTATTAAAATGAAAGCTCTTTTATTATTATTATAGAGAATTCCCTTTAAATATGTATTCGAGATCCGCCTGATAAGCTATACTAAAGCAATAATATTGCATACCGATAGAATAAATAAAAAAATCGAACGAGAAGAAGCATTATAAATATGCCATTATGTTACTAGCGAATGAAAAAATCGATTTACAGACTTTATTGCAATACAGTTGTTTGTCAACTCTAAGTTTCCAGTGGGAGTAAACTCATATTTGATTTATTTTTGCAGAAAAAAAGATTGCAGTGATTCATAAAATTTGTGTATAAGTTGACGATGGAGTTTTGAAGGTGTTCTCAAATCTACTGTATTTCTCATATGTTTTGAAGAGACCCAAACGAAAGCACAAAAATAGTTTTACAACGTGAAGTCAACAGAAAAAAGTTTACGATTGTAGATAATAGTAGAAAGTCAAAATATTTATAAACTCGGAGATAAACAATCACATATTTAAAATACTAGCAGCTTGCGGGAAAATGTAGTAATGGTTTGACAACAAATAACCATTGATAACGATAATCTATTGAAAAGAAATAATCAAACTTGTTCTATCACGTTCTATGCAAAATGTCAAGCATTATAGTATCGATGTTTCTTTTTCTGAAAGATTAGTAGAAGTTGATTAATATCTTTCTAATTATTAAAAAAAAGAATTTAGCGTTCTATCACAGCTCAGTTTTGTCTGATTCTATGAATAAAAAGCAATCATAGCTGTGGGAGAAAATTTATTCGGACATAAAAAGAAGTTTTTATGATTCACTACATTAAAAAACACTATAAGATTGTTGTTGCACGTACTTGTAAGATCTATTAGAGTACAAAAATAGAAGCAAATAGTGCCTTTTCTTTTGGAGTAGAAAATTTGTAATCGTTTTCGTTTGTTTTCTTTTTAGAATCAACTTCAACAATCAATACTGTTAAGTTCTCAATAGGTTTTTTTGTTACTACGAACTTAACGTTATTCTGTTTTTTGTTTTACCTCATGTCAATAAACGTAGACGGTCATTCCATTCATGCTCTATAAATAAAATTCAAGCACTTATCTTTTTCATCGAAAAATTGGTATTCGAAATCTTATCATGCGTTTGTTATTCAGTTGTTCTGTTTTTGCATAACAAAAAAAGTACCTTGATATTCGGTGTGTTTTATTTTTGTCGTTTATTCAAAATCTCTTTCTTTCTTTCTCTCGTCATCCCACGAACAGTTTTGTTTAAAACAAAATGTCACAACAAAAAACTAAAGAACAAAACCATAATATCACACACTGTGTATCTTCTATATTACTTTTTTTGCGCATATTATATACAAACATTTCAAACCATACAACAAGAACAGAAAAAAAAGTAAATTAAGAAAATCAATTTCTTTGCGCGAATAACATTCATGAACATGTACATAAGTGATCAAATAAAACATAGTTAAACTTTGTTCTTCGTATATTTTGTCGCAAGAAATATACAAGCGCATAACAAAAAACAATACAACAACAACAACAACAACAATAATAATAAGAAGAAATATTTGGAATCTAAATCAAGATGGCCACCGGTCATAAAAACTTATTATAAAGGTGCTTAAGTATGCCCAACACGTTTTTTTCCAGCAAAACTTTACATCACAAAGAAAAAGATTAAAACAAAAATAAAGAGCGAAACAATTGATTGTTGTATTTACAAATAAAGAGAACATACAAAAAAAAAATTATATATATATATATATATGTATAACTAATAAATAAAGATACGCGCATGCATATGTAATCTAAGCTAAAAGAAACCCAAACATGCTATTACCCGTAACTGTTTCTAAAGTAGTTTCTGTCTGACCAGCAGAGTAACAAGATAAATAACCGTCTTTCAAGCGAAATAAAATGAGAGAAAGAAAATAAATGAATTTACATATACAAACTCACGTAGCTTATCTGAAGTTGAGAGGCGTCAAACAACACACAGCATCAACAACAAAAGTTAAAGGAAAGATATATATATATATGTGTGTGCGTGTGTGTATAAATAAATAAAGAATGCTTTCTGGATTAGAAATTAAACTGATGAAGAGACAATTCTAAATTTAAGAATAACAGCAAAACTACAGAATTTTATGGAAAACGTTTCCAAAAATAACTACTTGACAACAACAATAAGAGTAAGAACAACAACTACAACAACAAGAGAAAAATTTTATGTACAGTTCAAATATGGATAGTTCTCTGCTTTTCTTTTTCTCTGCATATATATAAAAAAAAAAGATAGATTGCACAGCACGATCATTCGAGAATAAAAATGAAGGTTATCGAAATCTCATCGTCATCTTTCACCGTCAATAAACATTTACTGTTAGTTAATCTTTTTTTTTTGTTAAATACTGATCGTGCGATCAAAATGAGAGAAAAAAGGAAGCTAGTCTACTGATGAATTTGCAAATATATATTTAATACTTAGATTTTCGACTGTCCGTGGCGGTCGTTGACATTGGAAGGTACGATGCTTGTTGAACATAGAAAGGTGATAATTGATTGATATTCATTGGAGTTGGTGTTGGAGGAGATGCAGATAATGATGATGGAATCATATTATGATTATTAAAATTCTTATACTGTGGTTGATTTTGATACTGATGTGGTAAACGACGATGATGTTGAGATATTGATGGATTAGGTGTAATTTTACCGGTTGTGTTTGTATTTGCTGAAAATTTTTGTATAGCCAATGCTTTGTACAAACGATTGAGTTTATAATAATCTAAGAATTGAAACATGAGAAAGTAAATAAATAATACAAAATTCTTACAAGGAAAACTTTCAACATATCCACAATAACCACTATCAGATGATTCATTTGACGTAGTGCTATGCATTGAATACGGTGTATCCGAACGATCTGGTTGAAAAATATTGCCATCAATAGGCGAACCTTCGGATGACACCGATTCAGCATGGTTTTGTAGTCGATAATTTTGTTCATGTTTAACTGGAACTTTAATTGGTGTTGATGATATCGTTTGAAATTCCGGTGCTTGCGGCGATAGTGCTCGCGGCGGTGTAAATAATGGACCATTATGATAGACTGTTGCTGGCAACGGAGCTGATGGAATTATTAAAGATTGTTGTGTAACTGGATATGGTGACGATGTACGTTGCGGTGTTGATGAACCAGAACAGCTAGCTGAATTGCATGGTGAACTATTTGTTGATGATCGTGATACAGTTGTCGTAACCATTGGTATACGACTTTGATAAAATAATGAATCAAGGTCATTTCGAACAAGTTCATTGCCTTCGGTGTCAAATTTCGCAACCACTAATTGTTGATTTTCTTTTGGGAACGCATGATTTCCAAGTCTAATGAAAAATATGGAAATAGGTTTTATTTTCAGTTTTTATGTTTTCTTTTTCTATGTAAAGATTTTTGGGTTAAAAATTTTGGTTGCGTAAGAAACTACATGGTCACTAAGGTTCAGAATGTTTAGGTGTTTTTTTGTTTTTGTTTTGTTATTGTCATTGTGAAACATGAAAAGAAAAAAAGGGCGACATGGAAACAGTTAAAGTGACAAGAGAGAGAGAGAGAGAGAGAGAGAGAGAAACGGAGGAAGAAAAGGAAACAACTGTTACGGGGGCGACAAGAATAGAAAGCATACAATGTAAGTAAGAAAGAAAAACTAACTCGTCCTCTTCCTTTCTTTGCTATTGCATGTGATGACATCATGTCTCGTGATGCAGTTTGTGCGCAATCAACCTACGCATTTTGTCGAATAAAGAGAAAGAAAGAAAATAAAAGGAAGAACTCTTTCACATTTCTATGACTAACTATATACAATGCCAACTTCGCAATAAAACAATTCATGATGACACGGCACATACCTGATAGTGACTTCATATGGATCGATCCATAATATTAATTCATGTCGGATACCGAGTAGATTTGGTGCAAAGCCTAAATCATTACATATTTGTGAAACGATTAAATCACAATAATCATTTTCTTCATTGAATTCTAATGATCGATAAGCTTGTCCTTTAGCAGGCTTGTCTAAATCATAACAAAAATTAAAATTATAAATAAGAACATAAATAAATAAGTCTTACCAGGATACCAATGTCCTTGATAGCGTTGAAGTAAATTTTGTTGAAGATGACTTCGAAATTCTTCGATATTTTCCTCTTTTATTGAACCGAAGCGTTGAACGTATGCCACAAGTAGATCAAGTGCAGAATTAATTTCGTTCTTCATTGTGCTTTTGATATCGATATTTATGTATATAAGTGTGTCAGTGATAAAATAAAAATCTATTTTATCAAAATAAAAATGAATGAAAGTGCGTGGAAGTAATATATGTCGAGCTTTTATACTACTGGGTATTGATGTGTACTGCACTTTAGTTTTTTTCTTCGCCTCTTTCTCTTTCTTCAGTAGGAGAAGAGCCAAACAGAAGAGAAGAAAAATTAAGAAGGAGGAAAAAGCAAGAACAAGAGCATAGAAAAAAATCTTGATTCATTTAGAGGATGCATGTTTTGGAAAGAGAAGAAAGAAAAACCTAGGAACACGAACGGAATAAACTACGTAATAATTAGTGCACTCATGAAATGAAAGATTCTAGAATATTGTTCGCCTTTTTATTCAACAAAGAAAAGAAAAAGAAAAAATATAGAAAGAAAGACGAGCAGTTTACTGGGGAAAACAAAATCCTCATGACCCCCCATCAGCCGACTGTAATTTTTTTTGTTGATACTCTTATTTTGTTTGGATTGGGTAACAACACTGCTGACGTGTCACGATGACAACTGCTGATTCAGTCAGCAACGAGAATAAACCTATAGAAACAAAAAAAAGCTTACATCATTGCCTGACAGCACTAAAAACATGCGTGTACTTGTCGATTGCATAACAGTAGTTTATTTTTATCTATCATTGAATAAATAATACAAATAGAAAAACAGAACTATAGAAAAAATATATGAAACAATTGAAATATTTCCTAATCAAACTATTAAGTAAATACCTAAATAACTTTCGTCTAGGCAAGGCTATTTTTTCGACGATAAAAGCATTTTGGCTACTACAAAGCAAGGCGTTTAAAACAATACTTAAAAACTTTTACAACACAATGTTTCTATGAGAAATGTTTCATTATGTTTCTATGAACTTTCTCTGTTTAACATCGGCAACAAGAAATAAGAAAAGTCCTTCCTAGTAACGAGACCATTACGCCCCTAACGTACGAATGACGTAGAACTAAGGGGTTATATAATCCTGAAATCTACTGTTGTAATATTCAGAAATAAAAATTCTCATGGGATATAGTGGCTTAATTCATTGGCATAGATTTCATTTATTTAGTTATTAGTCATGCAAACCCCATTTGGCACATATCACTCGTTTTATTATTATTTTTTGCTATGTTTATTTCATTTATATAAAATGTGTGACACATTTTATTATATCGTATTTGGCATACTGCCAAAAAAGAGATTTTTAGATAACAAATCCCAATCTGTTCAAATATTTTCATATTGATTTTAACGATGCCGTTATCTCTTTTCATTGATGGTTTGACATGAGAAAAGCACAGTCCTCTCACAAAAATGACTTTGACAGAACAGTATCGCCGTAGCACGTAAAATGTTTTATTTGTTCTTCTTATTTTTTCAGAGCATGGTCTAACGCCTACGAATGCGTCTCGAAACAGTACGTCAACGAAATCACAGATGTGATCAAGATTCAAGAGCAGAAAGAAAAGCAAAGGTTTCAATGGTAAATCACGTTATTAGAAAAACATTTATACTCTCTAATAACACAGTAGAATAAAAATTAGAATATGCTTATAGATAAATATCTCGAATATTATTTTGTCCTTGAACAACATCTTTCTTAGTCATGATTCTTTTTTTGTTCGATTTTCTTTGTCTACAATTCACAAATATAGAAAAAAATATTCTGACACATAAGCCATATTTGAAGGCACGCCTATGTTCTTGGCATTACACAAAATAGAATATATATATATATAAACGGTAACGCAAGATGATTAATCACTACTGAGAAGCAAAATGTCTGAGTGCTTTGTTGTTGAATATTCATATAATGCAAACTTTCGTACTATTGATCTGGTAAGAAATTAGTCATCTTATGTGTACATACCCCTTGACTCAAGAGACGAAAAATAGCGCCAAGTACTAATTCAATAAAAAATTAGTGATCGATCGGAAGTAAAGAAGAAGAAAAAAGGAAGAGATCTTTTCAAAAGAAAAAAAAAACACTGTCGACGTTTTCTTCTTCCGCTATTTTCAGAAATAGTTCTTCTCAGCGTGCATAAAAAATAAATCTTTTTTCTTTGCACAAAAGCCCTATTCATATACATTAATGTCGCATGTAAAATTTTTGAATAAATTTGTCATTCTGCATTTATGATTTCATTTCTCAAAAATATTCATTAGATGAGTTGTTACTTTTTCAAGTCGTCATAATTACTTATTACTTATTTTAAAAAGATTGTTATCGAAGAAAAATGTATCTTGATGGTTCATACTCCTTAATTTACTGCTTCATTGGATATAACTACATAATTAGTTTCTATACACAAAGAGAATAATCTAGGCATTATCATAACGAGGTACCAATGTATTAACGTCCTCTGATGTGTGTGACATTTTTCTTCGGAAGTACATTAAATTGAATTTACATCCAAAAGAAGAAACAGAACTTCGATGCGAAGCAATGAATTTCAATAAAAATGAGTTAAAATTTCTAAAATGCATTAGAAAAACATTCAGATTAAATTCAAATCAGGATTATTGTTTTGCTTTCTCTCTATCGGACAATTAGTCTTCCGAACAGTCAACTGTTTGAAGTCGAAATTGAAGTTATTACCATAGAGTAGAAATTCATTAGTAAGCATGACTATTTTTCTAATAAAAAAAAAAAATGTTGATTGATCGTTGAATTGCTAATTATTTTGTCTCCATATTTAAAAGCATATTATTTGTCCATATGGTTTCGAGACTGTCGCGATGAATCGAATAAACTTTTGATATACATATAGATCAAGTAAAAGAACAAAATTCAACTTGTGAAGTACTACACGAAATGCTATACTTTGCACGGCATTAATAATCGATTAGGAATTTGTCGAAACTATTGGAGATAAGAGCAATAATTAAACAAGTTTAGGCTTATTTGATAAGCAATCTTTATGGCGAATATAATATTTTGAGTAGATTAATATCAATTTAAATGAGAATGTAAATAAGTACGTTGACTAGAATATTTATTTTAAAACTCATTAGGCGAAATAACATAAGTTTGGATGTCATGATCTTCGAAGTTAGGGTTTATTATAACTTAGATACAATAATCTAAAACAGGACATGAGATATTAAGAGAAAGAATGGAGCGATACCACCGGCTATAATAGACACACGTAGTTGTTGCCAGATCGGAAAGAATGCACATGAAAACATGAATGTTCAAATATAGCATCAAGAATCGAGAGTCTATCAGTTGGTTGCAGCGGCACCACTAGAGAAAGTCACTTGCTACTGAAGATCGAAAAACAAACTAAAATGATGCTTAAAATCCCGAAAAATATTAATGAACTATATCCGTAACAACGATTGCTTAATTTTCTAGTGGTAGTATAGTATCAATAGAAGCAAGTAACGAGTTATCTGACACTTACGTATATTGATGAAGAGCATTTCACTAACTATTTGGGTTACGTTAGAGAAATTTCAGTAGATTCTATTTAGCAATGAGTCATTTCCGATTAAGAAAACTACATTTAATCACGATAATACTTTCTCTATTATTAAAAAATAGCAGAAAAGAAAAATGTAATTACCAAAATCAATTAAACAGTCATATATACGATTTGTGAAGAAGAGACTTAATTGCTTTGTTCAGACACCGGAATAATATTTTATTTGTTTTCTTCTGTCTAAGTAACGTTAACGGAGAATAGTTTGTGCATAGTCAAAATACTGAAATTTAAAATAAGATGAATTTTACTAGATAAGTAATATTTAATATAACCGTGATGAGCATATTTTTTAGATTTTCTCGAACAAAGACGTAATCTTAAGCTTCTTTTGATTAAGATAATATCATACTAATGGGAAGTTATTTATATAATTTAATAGATAAATCAAAAAGAAGCTTGCCTAGTTTACATACATAAAACATTCTTCTAGTTCTATGCAAACAAACATTAAGAATTTATCGTGATCATGGTACTTGAAAAATATTTTCTAATTGAGTTCGTTTGAAGTCAAAACACTGTACTTCGTTGCACTCATTAAATCGGACTGATGCTGAGGTAACCGTAACCATGAGTGCAATTTGTATAGGTAATAATTACGGCAAAAATCTAGATACCTTTTTAGCGAACGGATGTCATCCATAAGGTGGATACTAAGTCAACATGGGCCATATTGACATTGGAATCGTATTCATTTATAATGACCTTTTTAAATTGCTGACGTGCTATTGTTGTGTCTATAGAAAAAAAAAGTTTGTAAAACCTAAACGCTGTGGGTTAACTTTTGAATAATCATTCGTTTGGTACATGATCTATTGTTAGAAACCTACAAAAACAACTACTTTTGTATTCAAGACATTTATCGGAATTGTGTTAATATTGTTAAAATCTCGCCTAGATAGAAAGCAGTTTAGAAATTGCAGGCTTCTAATTCTAACGGGTGCGCCAGGATAAATGTCCCTCTCAATTTTTTGGCTATAACTTTTTTTCTTTGTGCCCTATAGAGCTGATTGTTTTTCCAAAAGATGCACCGTGAAATTCTCTACAAAAAACAGTAATCAAACATGTTCCTAAAGAAAGTTAAGGGAAAAACTTAAACGAAGATTATCCAACACATAAAAAGTACCCAAATTTCAAAGCTAACGAGTGTCCCATCAACAGTCGGAGTTTGTACTTCTTGTTTTCATCATCTAGTAAGTTTATTTTAAAAAGACAGTATATCAGAAGATGCAGCGTGAAAAGCTCTACATGTTACATTAAAAACCTTATGCACTCTTTCTTTCAAAGTGAGAAAAACTTTGTCCGACCAATTTTAGATGCTGCGAAAAGATCATTTATTGGTCTCACGGAACGTTGCTTATTTTAAATAACAATCGTGCATATACATAAAATAAATTGTTGTTTGTAAATTGTAGAGCTTTTCACGCTGCATCTTTTGNTGAGAAAAACTTTGTCCGACCAATTTTAGATGCTGCGA